TAAGAAAATGACACTATAGATCTAACATATAGCAAGGATTTTTAATGAATCCGTAAACTCTGAGGTTGTACCCTATGACTGGAGAATTGCTAATGTAGTACTGTGACATTACCCAGGATACAATTTGGACTGTTGAACAGCTGTGTCCACTTTAATCTCTAGTCTGGGGTGCCTTTTAATTTGCTTTGCTGTTAGAACAGCCACTCTTGGCCTGCTCACACAGCCTTCAGCATGCAAATTCACTCGCAGCTAAACACATGAGCATGCTGACCAGTCACTCATGAATTACATACAGGGTGACATCTGCAAATTCTTAGTGTCAGACTTTACCTTAGAGATTTGCATCTTGTGCTGTCCAGCACACTACTGAACAATGCAAGCTCATAGAAAGTCTGTCATTTCTTCAAATAAAATGTTATATGCACCAGTCTTGCTATCCGACTGTCTCTCATTTTTATATCATCCTCCCCCTTTGAGGATTACCCCCAGCTGGGGTGTAGGCAACATATGGTCTCTTGTGGATGTGAGGGTTGAACCATCTCCGTGATGAAATGTAAATTTCTTGTTTACACCTTCCTGTTGATGAAGAATGGCACTTATAGCTGTTCAACACCTGACTGGGTGCTAGGGTGTCTTTGTCTCTGAAAAACTGTTTTGTGCCTGCTTGTCTTAACTTTGGAGCATGTTATAACAATGATGCATAGTAGAATCTAATAACTTCTCATATAATATTGATAGACACATTTTGCCAGGGCATCAATATTCAGCAGATTGAGTTTTCAAATGATTTCTCACAAGACATACTTTATACAAAATTTATCATAGTCTTGTAAGTGTGATGACCAAAAAAATATAGAACGTCACAAGTACCTATTTTTAAGAAAGGAGAGAAAAGTGATCCGGGAAACTACAGGCCTGTTAGTTTGACCTCAATTGCATGCAAGGTCTTGGAACAAATTTTGAAAGAAAAAGTAGTAAAGACATAGAGGTAAATAGTAATTGGGATAAAATACAACATGGTTTTACAAAAGGCAGATCATGCCAGACCAACCTGATCTCTTTCTTTGAGAAGATAACTGGGTTTTTCTAGACAAAGGAAATGTACTAGATCTAATCTACCTGGATTTCAGTAAGGCAATTGATACAGTTCCACATGATAAATTATTAGTTAAATTAGAGAAGATGGGAATTAATATGAGAATTGAAATGTGGATAAGGAACTGGTTAACGGGGAGACTACAACAGGTCAGACTGAAAGGTGAATTCAGACTGGAGGGAGGTTGGTAGTGGAGTTCCTGAGGGATCAGTCTTGGGACTTATCTAACATTGTTATTAATGATCTTGGCACAAAAAGTGGGAGTGTGTTAATAAAATTTGCAGATGAGAAAAAGTTGGGAGGTATTGCCAATACAGAGGAGGACCGGAATATCACACAAGAAGATCTGGAGGACCTTGAAAATTGGAATAATAGAAATGGGATGAAATTTAATAGTGCGAAGTCATGCACTTAGAGACTAACAACAAGAATGTTTGCTATATGCTGAGGACTTATCAGATGGAAGCAACAGAGGAGGAGAAAGATCTTGGTGTACTGGTTGATCACAGGATGATTATAAGCCGCCAATGTGATGCAGCTGTGAAAAAGGCTAAAGCAGTCCTAGGATGCATCAGGAAAGGTATTTGCAGTAGAGACAGGGAAGTGTTAGTACCATTATACAAGGCACTGGTAAGACCTCATCTGGAATACTGTCATAGAATCATAGAATATCAGGGTTGGAAGGGACCACAAGAGGTCATCTAGTCCAACCCCCTGCTCAAAGCAGGACCAATTCCCAAGTAAATCATCCCAGCCAGGGCTTTGTCAAGCCGGGCCTTAAAAACCTCCAAGGAAGGAGACTCCACCACCTCCCTAGGTAACGCATTCCAGTGTTTCACCACCCTCCTAGTGAAATAGTTTTTCCTAATATCCAACCTGGACCTCCCCCACTGCAACTTGAGACCATTGATAGAAAACAAGGCCAGCCTCCATTGTTTGTTTTCCTAGGCAAAACTCAGTTAAACTGGAGGGGAAAAGGTTCTCTCTGCCTGCCTAGCAGATCTTCCCATTTTAAACCTCTCTTCCCACCCTCAGATTTCTACTTCGGAGCTGCTGTTCTTTCTGCAGCTGGGTCAAAAATACTCCTTAAATGGCTGTAGGTGGTGTTGCAGTTGAACAGTAGGAGACTACCTTCTGGGACTGAATATGATCTACTGCCCCTACCTTGGTGGTGCTCCATGCCTCTGAGGGTGAGACACCAGTAATAGAGAGCTCAGGGGCCAAATTCCTTTGGAGTTGTGCCTGGATTGTATTGTCTCATAGAAGTGCAGAGTCTTACCACTAGACTGTCAGACCATGCTCTTAGCCTGACATTCTGCATACTGAATTCATTTCCTCTCTCTTTTTTTAGCAAGTGATACCAATCGTGACTGTGTGATATCCATGTTTTATTTTATTACTTTGATGTACCTAGATGTTTGGTACCCTTGATTCTTAAGGGTGTTTTTATTCAATAGAGTAAGTGGAAAGTGTGAACCTTTAAAATGTTGCTTGTAAAGAAAGTTATGAATGTGAATTTGTGTAGTATAGTCCAACTATCTGCATTACTAAACATATTTTCTCCTGACATAGTTCCTGAGAATTGTCAAGCGCTTCCAGAAACTCCCATTCTTAAAGAGGACCGTGACATAATTAGCCACCATGTTTCTGTGGAATCACATAGAATTGCTTGGTGCATAGCTGTGTTTTTTGCTCTTTCCCTGCTACGTATATAGTTTTAGTTTAAATACCTGTGTACCTTAGTTGGGAAATGATTGTCATCCTGTTTTGAATACAGTCCCTTTTTTATGAAGGATCTTGAGTTGGCTGAATGTTAATTCTCCGTCTGTTTACAAATACTTATTCAGGAAGGGGTGTGCAATGTGCAGGACAGACTTATGACGCATACACCCGCTATTTCAGGGGCACTTGCCTTTGTTCAGGAGAATGTGGAAATAAGGCACAGCATGTACAATGAACAAACGATGCCCTTGCATTCCAAGAGTGTGGTACCAAAGTGGCTTGCTATCTGATGGGATGTTTTAATGATGGAAAGATAAGAGAAACACATTGAGTAATGTTCTGAATACCAATGCCTCTTCAAACTGCAACTGGTGGTCTACTTTGGTCATGTTTTATGGATGACATGAGGCAAGATCAAAGATTCTGAGATCTGATCTGATAAGCACTATGTATGCAGTAATGTATTTTGCAGTATGTTTAATAAATTTGCATATAGCTTTGAGGCTGACTCAGTTTTGCAAAACTTCCTGGAATCACTGGTTTAAAATCTGGCACAAATGACTCATCCCTTTATCCTTCTGAAGTTAATAATTTGAGTTCTAAGTGGCATACTGTTTGTGGATCTGTGGGGTGAAACCTTAAAAATCAGAGGTCCTATGTGCTACACATGGACACTTAAGATTCTACAGAGACTTGGCATTTACCTTGTACTGTTAAACCACATCTTCTTGTTGCGTGATATACCGCATCCAGCTTTTCTAGTGCCCTCTCACCCCAGAAGTGGTTGTATTTCAGTGTTGCTGTAGTACTTAGTTTAAAGTGCTTTTGAATCCTTCAGGATGAAAAGCTGTGTTTGTGTGTGTAATGCTGTATAAAAGAAGCACCTGTTCTTTTGAATAATAGCTGCACATTTTAGTCAAAAGATATATATTTCTGATGGTGACTATAATGCTGAAAATTGCAGACTGGGGAGATCACAGTAGAGGTATTGTAGCCCAAGTGCTGTGCGACTTGCACACAGCTGCTTGAAAAAATCCAATACCATTTTATTTTACCATCTTTTTGTTTTAATGTGTGAATAACAGAAAAAAATTTGTATCTTGGGTGCTCAGTGAGCTCTCTTGTTTTTGAAAGCACAGGGCACCTAAGCATGCTGCCCGAGGCAATCCTGCCAAACTGCTCTAGTTTATATGATGCTGTAGTGCACAGTTGTTTATGCTGTGGAATGGAAAAATGTGATGGTGTACAAACAGGGAAGCACTGTCCCTTTCACAAAGAGCTTACAGCCTAAAAAGACAAAGGGTAAAGTCAAGGACTCCATCATACAAGCTAAGTAACCTGAGGTGCTTATATGTGTATATGTTGAATGCCGTGTGTGTGTGTGTGTGTGAGAGAGAGAGAGAGAGAG